AATTTTTTGATTGCTTATCAAATACAAATTCTTACAATTTTTGTAGTTTCTTTTATTATTTTATTATATTTTATGAACCAATCTAGAATTATAAATTGGTTTATTTCCACTTTATTTTCTTTCTAAACAAATTTTTAAATGCCAAAGTAATTAATTTGGTTCCTTTTCTATCGAATAACAAAATTAAGAGTAAAGAGTAATTTGTAACTTAATGATGAAATCTCACAACGGTTTTCTCTCTTTGCTCTGAATTTTTATTTAAATGTGGAAAAAATATAGTTGTGTTAGAAAGAAAATATTTATACATTAAAAAAATCTATTCGTTTTAAAACAAATATGGTTTTGTTATGAGTTACGCAAACATCGCGAATATTTTTCTCTTTAAAATTTTCTGTTTCTCTTCATACTCAATCTCTCCAACTTTACTTTCTTACTTTCTTTTTCCCACTTTTTGCATCATGACATTATAAAAATTTTCCGGTTTGGACATTTCAATTAAAAAAGAAAGAGAACAAGTATTTTTACTTTAGATAGCAATTTTATTGAAAAATATTTTGAAACCTTTTTATAGAAAATTAGGAAATTTATCACCATTATAAACTTGATAAATTTCTTTTCTAAGAAGCTATCGATATTGATGTTAAAATACAAACCGAAGAAACTTAAGAACTTCTAATATTTTGCCCTATTTAAGAAAAAGTTAAAAAATTAAAGCACAATAAAATTCCGCTGATAAATGAGAGCATACCTTAACAACATCTTCCTATTTCAAACATTTAGTTTTTACATTTACTACTACTGTTACCGCCAATACAACACATGTACAATTACTGTTGTTGCAGTGAAAAGTTGTTGTCCTGGTATTTTATATTGTAGTAAAATCTTTGTTATTTTTGTTGTAACAATTTTGCTTACGTAGTCATTTTAAAATCAATTGCTTTTACACACAGAACATGTGATTTGTTATCCTTCTTACTTATAAGTTTTTCCTTTTGTAAAATATTATGAATTCAGAAAGAAATAGCCTTTCTTTTTATTATGTTAGTGATCTTAAAATTTTATAAGTTTATTTCTGATTAAAAAAAAGGGAAATAAATTTATAAAGCTAAATAATAAAAAATAAAATATACGAGATTTCATTAAAAGAGGCTTACACAGAAATTTAATGATATTCATAAAATTTTATAACATTGTAACTCTTAAATTTTCTTTGGAAAAGGAATTTCTATAAAAAATTTATGTGCTGTTAAAGTTGTCAATTTTCATAGGGCGAACGCTGTAGAAAAAATGTTTCATTAAAGTGTGAAAAATGTTCATTAAATTGACAATAAATTTAAAAAAGAAAAATGCTGTAATTTTTATGTTTCTTAACAAGCACCACATAAATCCTTTAAATTTAAAAATATGGAAAAGGAACTATTATAATTTGATCTAGAAAATTAATAAGTAAAAATAAGCGTTATATATGTGAAAAATAAATATATATGTATATATGTAAATAAATAAATCTAATGTTGTATAAAGAAGAATATTGTGAAACCGGAAATTTTCATTTCTTTTAAATAGGAAGGACACGAATGAAAAATAATTTTTTTTCTTCGCTTTCTCTTAATAATTGAAAATTAATTCAACGTTTCCACAAAATTGCAATACACAAACCTTATATGAATTTATTTGTTCTAATGGCGTCAAATGGAAATGGGTTCAAAGTTTTGTTCAAAAAAACGTAAGAAAATATTCAAATCACATAAATTTCGAAAATTTTCAAAAAATTTTAATAAACTGATTTTTTTTTTTAAGAAATGTGAAAATCAAAATTAGGTTAGTGTAACACAGTCGATTGGAATGCTACAAAATTCGTGATTAAGCGTAAATAAATTTAAAGTATGAAATAACTCGAAACTGAAAAATATATTTGAAAATTTCCTTGCCGTTGGTACAAAAATTTACTTGACACTAAAACGAAAGTTCAATAAAATTTACAAAAACCTAAAATAAATCTAATTATAAAAAATTCCAATAAGTTTTTCAGTGGATTCTACATGTTATTAATTGATTTTATTTATTTGTGAGTCACGCAACCATTTTATGGTATTTGTGTAAATTTTTTACTAGTTTTGAACCATCCTCATTAATATGAGGATGGTTCAAAATAATATTTGTGAGAGTTTTGTCTTTCCTTTATTCAAATCAATATTTTTTTACGTAATTTTAAACAAACTCACATGCGTCTACATAAATGTTTTCTATTGACCCTATAACCTTGCCTGTTTGATCGTTTTCGCCATTAGCTATTTTAATTGTTTTGCATGTTTTTTGAATAAAAATTATTTTTTAAAATTTCTGAGAAAATTTGTCTATTTTTATTTTGATTCTAAATGATTACAAACTGATATATAAATACATTCCCTTCCACATTAAAACATATGTCGTTTTTATAAAAACGTATAATATCTTTAATTATTTAACTATTCATTTCAATTCTTCCTAAATTATTCTTTTAATTAAAATTTTTTCTAAGCGTCCAATTTTCGCTTCAATATTTTAATTTTGATATAAAAAAACGTCGTTACAAATTTAGTTTATAATGTGATTTTGTATACGAGAACCTGAGAGAAAAGGAGCAAAAAATAAAAATTTACCAAAGCTTCTATTTTTGTCAAAGTTTTGTTGTAAATAAATTCACAGAAAAAAAAAATTCATGCAAAAAATTTTGTATATATTTGTTTATTCTTAAAAAAAAACAAAACGACTAAAAATTTTATGGAAAACAAAAGGATTTAAAGATAAAAAGGATAATGGAAGCAAAAACAAAAACTGCAAAAAGAATCCATAATCACTAATTTTTTGTTCAACAAGTTCATTTTACACTCACACTCACTTGAAATAATTATGCAAGGATAATAGAAAAAATTGTGGAAAACCCTCTTGAATAATTTGTATTCAAAAGCTTTATTTTTAACCATCTATTCAGGTCTTTTCTTTCTTTTTTTTTCTTTTTATTCTTCTACTATATTATTATAAGCAGATAGAGTTCACGTAATATGACGGTACCACATAACTCTATATACGCGTAAATTCATACATTTTGACTGTATACTCATATTGTCTTACATAGTATGAACAAATAGAGAAACCGATTTCTCTCCCAACTGCTATTCAAAAAGCTTTCCATTTTTGAGCTGCTATGTTTTTTATATAGTTTTTTATTCATAATTCTATTTTCACATACATAAAATATATGTACCTTGGCAGTTTATATGAAACGAAATTTTATATTCATACGTGTAAATAAAAATCAAAGGAAAAACAAAAACAAAATAACACGCGGCAATATTTAATGTCCTTAATTTTGTTTGTGTGTCATGTAAGTTAGTTTTTTTTCCTGCTCTTATACACATAAATTTATTTTGTACTTATATGGTAGATTGCACAACTAACAGAATAAATTTATAATTTTAAAAACAAAAGGACAATTAGAAAGCAAAATGAACAAAAAAAAATTTACATAAATACAAGATAGACAAAATGTGAACATGACACAATAGAGCAGCAAAAGTACTTGCATTTTGTATACGTACACACTCATATTTTGTTGTATACATAAAAATAAATAGTTCTGGGAAATATTCTGTAGAAAGATTCTGATAAGCGAGTAGTAAAGGGGCGAATAGTAGCCAATTTAAAAATTATGAACTAATTTAGCCAAGAAAGGCTATAAAATTAACGGAAAAACGTTCATTAAGAAAAAATCTATATAAGTCTTTTAGAGCTTTTAAAATTTATTAATAATCTACGACTAGAACATATTCAAATTTATTAAAAAATCTCCATGATTTCTCGAAATTCTTTTTCGAAAATAGAAGTGATTCTAAAAAAAGCCAGTTGGTACTTACCATTTACTTTATAACAGTTTTATGTTACAGTTTAAACTCCATGTGCCAAATATTTGCACTAATTATTACGCAAAAACTGCAAAGATTATTTCAAAACCAACTATCCTAGCTCGAAACGGAACAAACGAAACTACGCAAGTTTATCTAATATGGTTATTAAAAAAATTGAAATATATTTTTGAAAGTTATGGGAAACTACTTGTAGGTTCCATAGGGGGAAATTTTTATCAAGTATAGGACGTCTGCTAAAATGCATGTCTAACGTCAAATTTACTTACTCTATAATTAAAACAGTATTAATATGCTCATGGTTATTATACATTTTTTCGAAACCATAATTTTGTTGCTATATTTTGCATTAGTTAATCAAACATAATTACAAAAAAATATCAAAGTAATTTGAACTAACTCTTTAGTGTCGCCGAAATTGGCTAACTCTTGAAAAGTCCGAAAATTTCCATTTGAATTGGTCGTCACTTTTTCAATAAATAGTGGTTTAGTCTTAACTTTGATTTTTGTAGCCAATTTAATGAATAAAATCTTCAATGTTCTTCCAATAGTTTTTGAACAATTTTGCAGTGCGAGAACTTATATGTGTTCATAGTTGAATAAGATAGCATTTTTCAAATCTCTACTTTTGTTTTAGTCAACTTTTTCATAAAAAATAAATTTTAATTACAACTACAAAATGAATGAGCAACGAATGTGCAACAAAAATGTAAAACAAATATGCAAATTAGAGATACAAAAATTTCACTAAAGGTTCGCGGTACACTTAAAGTTTGCCTTGATATTTCCTTTACATTCACAAAATTTTTTTTAGTGGTAAACAAATTTGTGATAGTTCTCTTGTTCTTCTTCTTTTTAAAGATCGCATTGTCACACACTAAGGGAGAAATTATGTTCAACCCTCAAAGTACTTTAAATAAATAGTTTTGACATTTTTGTAGAATTTGTTAATTTGTGCAGACAACGATTTGTACAAGTTTAAAGTCCCATAAAACAAAATTTTTTTTTTAAATTTTCAATCCCAACTATTCTTCATTTAATACTTTTATATTAATTTTTCAGTTTATTAAATTCAAATTTTTTTTTATTATTTAGGAAAAGGATCAATATGGAAATGAAGTACAACGTTTGGCACGTCCACTACCTGTTGAATATCTATTGGTTGATGTACCAGCTTCAACACCTTTAACTCCATTATATACGTTCACATCATGTGATCGTAAGGAATCGTTTCCAGTTGAAAATCGTTACATTGACGGTCATTTGCAAGATTTTAATGCATTAAGCTCATATTTATCAAAATGGACTCCAGAACAATTTTTGGAAGCTGTTTCAGATTTTCATTTCTTACTCTATCTGTACAAAATGGATATGTTACCAATGAAAAATAATATGAGCAAATTATTTGAAGCTGTTAAAAATAAAGACAAAAAATTGGCTGCAGAATTTAAGAAAACTGAAGTTTGGGCAACATTGGAAACTTTAATATCAGCTAGTTCCGGTTCAACTGGGTAAAAATATAACATGAATATTTAAAATAATTTTTTTTAGATAAATTATCTTCTAAAAATTTTAGTGGAACTGGTACGTATCCTGGCCATTCTTCATCAAATTCTTCCACACCAGCTGCTGATGGTGGTGCGGCAACATCATGGACTTGCAACCATTGCACATTCATTAATCGTAGTGATTTGGGAACATGCGAAATGTGTGGATTACCACGATAAATATAAGGTTGTAGTGAAAAAATTCCAGATGAATCCATCAGACGATCATCAATAAAAATTATTTAATTATGAAAAAATGAATAAAATTGTAATGAAATTCTACAAAGATTCCCATTCTACTTTATTACATGAGTATTTGATTAATAAAATGTTTCAACAAACAAAATTATAAATTTTGAATAATGTAATTGAAAAAAAAAATTATTTATGTATGTAATATGAAAACTGTACCTATTGCCGTAAATTATATTTCACAGAATTTAAAAAGCTTCTAAGTGTTAAATATAATTAAAATAAAAAATATATATTTGGGTGTTTGTAGTACTTGAAAATTAGAACTACAAGAAACAAAAATTTATTTTTGCTTTTAATTTTTCTTTGCCAAAAATTGATTTAAGCATAAACTAACAGTGCGAATATGTTTGAACTAATGAGTCTGCTGAAGACCAGTTTGCAGTTGTTTAGTTTGAAAATTTTCTAAAATTCGCCATTTCATAATTATCTGTTTTATTTTAGGACGTGCGATGAACTTTTGTTTGATGAACACCCGTCCGTGCGCTTGTCACTTTATTTACAAAATTTCTACACCGTTCAAGATAAAATGAGGAAATTTTTAAAAGTGATAAAATTATTTTACAGTGATAAAAATTTTTTGTCGCTCCGTTCAAGCTATTGCTTCCCGTATATGCAAAATTATTGAAAACAAGAAAATAATTTCAATGGACCGTGACATTACTTCCATCTAGAGCTACATAAATATAAACTCTTAGAAGAATGGAAAATATCTCTAAACAAGAATTACAAAATTTTACATTAATAAATGAAAATAAGCTAAAACTTGAATAATTGTGGTAAAGTAACGGCGCAATCAAAGTTAAACCTAAATGCATTCATTGAAATAGGTTTGTTTAAATTTTCAGTTTGACCGATTTCCATATTGTATCATTTGATCTAATTTCGGCTGTTATTCCTTTTCACTCAGGTTGGTATTGAAGCTACGCTGAAAGTAAAAACTCCACCTTCTTATTAAATCCTCTTAACACCTTTGAAAAAAATCGCCAAATATGGTCATGTGGCATATCATCGCAAAATTAAAAAAAAAAAACTGTTTAAAAGAGGAAAAAAATTTCTCTCTCTCTTTAGTTCAAAGTTTGGAGCTGAGATATCTTAAATATTTCCATTTTGAGAAACTACACAATTTTGGCAAGAAAATTAACTTTTTCATTTGTTGTCTTATATTATATCATTTTCCTCCCAAATGTACAATTACCTCATTTGTATAATGAAAAGTTCATATTCACCCCTCAATCTATGCAATCATTTTGTGAAATATTTTCATAATCCTAAGGTAATATTAATTCTCACAATAATTTTATAATTTTAATTTGCTCATTCCTATTTATCTTAAATTTCCTTCTTATTTTACGTATACTGATTGTAAAAATCTCTTACTACCTCACTAAACAAAACAGAAGAAAAAGAAAAATACAAGGACGCGATTTAAACATGTTTTTAAGGCTTTTTTCGTTCATTGTGGGAGATTTGTGTGAACAAAAATAAAAATCAAACAATACAAATTTTATAAAGGACATAAAAAAAGGATTTTTGTACATGTTTATTATTTTTGCTTTTTTTTGTCTTTTGTTGTTTGTTATTTCTTATCTTCTTAGTGCTCTTGTTTTACTTTTTATTTGAAAATTTGAATTTCTTTTCCTAACAAAGCAAAGAATATTAAAATTTTTCTTTCTACCTTAATAATTTTACTGAAACCACCACTGATAATACGAGAAAAAAAATTATTTTTTTATTTTTTTTTTCTATATTTGAAAAGGAAAATATTTTCATCCCTTGTTTCATTTTTAAAGTTTTTCCTTTAAAGAATTTTTAAATGGAGATGAATGAAAAATATGTAAGCATGTAGGTGTCCATGTAAGTTTATACTTTGACTATAGAACACTTATTATGACTTTCACTCAATAAAAGAAAGAAAAATATTTAAATCAATTTGGAAAGTTATTAGAGTCGCAATCAATAAGCAATTATAATTTGACCCATTTAATGCGCTATATTTACTATACACAATTGCACTATGCAGATAAAAAAATGAAATTTTTTGCAATAAAATTATAATTAGATCAATTCCAATTGCATTCTTCAGAAAATTTTTCTTACATGTTATATTTATTGAACATATTTGCAAAAAAAATTAACATTTTATTTACATAAAAGAAAAAAATGTTAAAATACCAGTTTGGTTTCATAAAGCACAAGAAGAAGGTAAAGTCTAAAAGCTTTCCAGAATTTTCTTCGAAATTAAAAATTTTTTATTACAAATTTCTAATAAAAACGCTTTGAATAATTGACTAAATTTATCTTATATTGGATAATCTCAGGTATTTAATAACGAATTGGCATTTTATCTAAAATTTTTTAAAACAGTTTAGGTATTTTTACACAAAACTTTTCTCAAAACTGTCATGATTTCGGTAACAATTTGTGTTAAAAGACATTCTTCCCCCTACCAGTCGCCAAAAAAATTCCATATTCAAAAACACATCAATCCTGTTTTTTTACGATACTTTAAAATAATGCACATATGTGTGCTTCTAAATTTTATAATTCAAATTTAATCAAAGTAATTTTATGATTACATACCTTCAAAATATTAATAAAATATGTAACTTTAACAACGAATCTTAAAAAAAAAAAAAAGAATTTTCAACCAAAAAGGAAAAAATGCTAATTTAAAGTGTTTTCAACCCTTAGTTGCTTATCCTTTCACTTTATCTATACTCTAAGAATTTTCCGGTTATCGCAACCATGCACCAATCGACAAATACAAATATGTGATAATTTTTTTTATTATAAAAATTTGTAAGGCTTTTTCTTAAACACAAAATGCTACTTTTTACTTTGTCTTATCTTCATTTAAAATTCTTAAGATCTCAATTTTGTTAAATGTGGTATCCTTAACGCAGGCAAAAACAAATTAATTTTCAGTATTACCTAATTTTATTTTTTTCTTTTATTTCCTCTGCTTATACATAAACTTATATATGTACAAACATATATGAATACTTTTTCTTTTATTTAAGATGAAGTTTTAATAGAACGACCCACTAAGTCCTTTTTTTTAATTAAAAAGATTTTCTAAGGATTACTTTCAGATATGTGCACATATATTCGTACACATAAAACTTGTATTTCAATACATATGTATTTCAATACACACATGTATTATACAAACATATATTATAGAAACTGTACCACACCCACTAATAAAATTTCATATTTAGAAATTACTTTATGTTATCGAAAACATAAATGGAAGATATTATATACAGTTAATCTTATAATTATTTGTACATAATTTTTTACACTTAATATAATTTGTACACAAGAGCGTACAGTTTACTCTTACATTGAAATATGAATGTATTAATTATTTTTTCAATCTGTTATTATCCTGAGTCTATCATTCACAATCTGTTACTATCCTATGAAAAAGTGCCATAGTCTTTATGAGCGAAAATTTTTTGCATAATAAATAGTTTAGCAAAAATTCCATTATTTACTGTGAATTTCAATAACTAGAAAGATTACTGAATGATAACAATTTAATGCAAAACCACTGAATTCAAGAAGTTTCGAATGATTTTAAGGTCTCCCTGACTTTACTCGGCAAGTGAAAAGAAAGTTACTTCTACTCACTCGGCAAGTGAGTTGATGATCTGTACAATTGAAGTCATGGTTTTTATCATAGGCTTAATTTAATTTCATAAAAACTTGTAAACTTTTAATGTTTCTTGTGGATTTAAAAAATTTAACAAATATCTTTGTTACTAATTGGTAAAATTTATAGTGGTTACATAACCTATGTTATACGACATCCACTGTAAATGCATATATACATTACACATAAGTACACATACTTTAGTATATATAATATATTTATATGTATATATATGTTAAATTCTTTGGATTATTAAAAAATGAAAAGATTACTAATTTTTATAGATGTGGAAGAAAAAACGGAAAACAGTATTCTTTAGGAAAATATTAAAGAGGAAGAGATAATGGAGCGGGGGGTTTGAAATAAAATTTTGTTTTTAGATGATTCCTATGATCTTTGAGCTTATAAAACTTCCCTTATTTTATTTTTAATAATTTTTTTTCAGACTAAAGTTTTTAAACTGCAAAGTGAACCAAAACATTTTTTCAGGTTACAAACAATTTGTAATTATTTCTTCCGTGTGCCACTGTGTTCCATCATTGTGATTTTAATTATTGTTGTCCGAAAAAATTTCTTAAATTTAAATTTTCTTTTCATATCAATTCTATTTTCCTAAAATGAATTTTAGCATTTACCTGTAAAGTTATACAGTCCCTTATAACTGTAAAGCGAAGAAATTTATTTGATGCTTTTCGTTTCAACTGTTGTCCAATTAGACATTTTGGATTTACGTTATGTATCCTTAAATAGATATGCTAATCTTTTCAGATTGCTTCTCTAAAATAATTAACTCGATTTTTGCTACGGAACATGTATGCTCAATAGGACAGCAACCTATTACGAAAATATGATAATTATGTGTACCAAAATAACTAGATCAGGATTTTGTTATACTTTTTAAGTTAGAAGAATTCAAAAATTCTACTGTTTCGAGTTTCAAATTAAAATTGAACAAATAGGTTCATGAATGAACAAAATGTTAGCATGAAAGAAAAAAGCCAAAAAATTTTATTTGGTAAAACCAGGTCCCAGTTCGTGGTCCAAGTTCTCATTTTCCTAAAAAATTTATAGATTCATTTTTCACCCCGAATTTAAATGTTAAATTTCAAGGAAATTGATTGATTATTTCTCTTTATAAGCTCAAAAATGTAAAATCCACCCGTTAGAAGATCCAGTTCCCGAGACCAAAAAGGTGACCAACAGACAGGCAGACCAACATCTCCCTAAAAATAGTTTATTTTTCGTTCCTCCAACTTCCATTTCGCTGTAAGTTTTAGTCAAAAGCTTTCTTGCTGAAATTTCACCATAAATTGTTCTGATAAATTCGGATAATGATTTTTGTATAACTATTGAATTTCTGTTGTCTAGTTTACTGCGCTTATATAAAGTAGATATAGACTGTTTTTAACAACATACATATTAACGTTATGTGAATCTGCCAAAAGCGTTAGGTATTATTTTAATAAAATATTATTTAATAAAATAATATTATTTTACAATTATTTTAATAAAAAATTAGAAAATTATC